CACAAATAGAGCTTTCTTTCGATGGTATTTGATCACCTGTGCGCTTTTTATTTTTCACGCTCTAAACAAAAAAAGGCCTAAAATTTTGAAGAAAAACAATATTTTTTACTTTCAGCTATAAAAAATATATAATACACTCAAAGTTGGTTATAAATTTAGGCCAAAATGTATTCTGCTCCATGTTTTTGGTAAAAAAAATCCCAGTAAGTGTATATTGATTGCTTTGTGTGAAAGTTATAGCGTCTACAAACTATGGTATAGATACTGCAATTTACGCCATTTTTTTGCTATACAGCGCTGTGCTAGTTTAACGGACAATTGAGCTTTCTTTTGGTGGTATTTGATTGCCTGTGCGGTTTTTATTTTTTGCGCTATAAAAAAAAAGGCTGACAATTTTGAGGAAAAAAAACAATATTTTGGACTTTTTGCTATAAAACATGTCCAGTAGAAAAAAAATTAAAAAATCAAATTTAGTCATACATTTCTGCCAAAATGCATTCTGCGATGTCTTTGATAAAAAAAAAAAACCAATACGTGTAAATTAATTGGTTTACGTGAAAGTTATAGCATTTACAAATGGCGGAAAAGATACTGGGATTTTTAGTTTTTTTTTATACTAATAATGGCAGCGATCAGCGACTTATGGCAGCGATCAGTGACTTATGGCGGCGATCAGCGACTTATGGAGGGACTGCAGGACTGCGGTGGACATTCTGACATTGGGGGGTACTGACTTGGGGTCACTGACATTCCCAGTGACACCAATACAGTGATCAGTGCAAAAAAAAAAAACACTGACACTGTACTAATGGCACTGGGGAGGAAGGGGTTAAGTTTATTTTTCAGGAAAGGGTTAACTGTGTGAGGGGAGTGTTTTACTAGGGGGTGGGGGGGTGTACTGCAGGGAACACTGCTGATCGGGAGAGAGAAACTCTTCTGTCCCGATCAGCTTGTCCTGGAGCTGTCAGGGAACTGACAGAAAGCACAGCTACTGCAGCTGTGTGTCAGCGATTGCCGCCTCTCGCCGGGACATAGCCGGTTAACGACTGGCATCCGCGGCTGTGAACGGCAGGACAGGTAGGGCGGCAGCGTGCCTCGCGCACGCCCCCTACCTGTTTACAAAACACACGTTTTAAAAAGTGGTTTTGCCCAGCCGTGCCGCCCTGCCGCCCTGCCGCCCTGCCGCCGTATTTATACAGTGGCTGGGCGGCATGTGGTTAATACAAATTTTAAGGCTTGAATTTTAATATATATTATATTTTGTTTTATATTTTATTGTATTAGTCCATTTGCTTTGAGATGTGATAGGCAATTTATTACCAGTCTCAGCACATTAGCGCTCTAATAAGATGGCGATTTGTACTTACGAGAGGGCGGGTGGACACTGCATATAAGCCGACCACACATCTGACAGACGCATCCTTTGACAAAGTCGTAATGACAAAACGCACCAGGAAGGCAACGTCAGATGCCAACCAGAAGTTTAGTGGCGGCCATTTTGGTTGAGGTCCATTCCAAGGAATTGTATACCAATGTTGATGTACATCTCATATGTGTAAACGCTTTTTACATTCAATAAATTTGATTGTTTTGGTTTGCTATGGGATGGTTGCCTATTCTGTGTTGATTTGCATACCAGCATTGTCATGGAAGTGGCAAGAGGGATGTTGCTTTGAATTGTCAAGAGGAGTCTATTTACTTAAGAATTTATTCTTTTACAAAGAATTTTATTATAGAATAGATAGGAGCAGAGAATCAGACAAAAACAGATACATTGACCAACAGGAATAAAACATACAAGGTATTCGTTGAATATTACAGAATACGTACTGATGGAGAGACATAGCAATAAACATCATACTTAAGTGTCGAGTACATCAAGACTTTATTCTTATGCAGTTTAGTGCATGAGCTGTGAAGTGGTGGATCACCTTATTGTCTCGGTTGTCGGTCGGTGGTCACTAGTTTGGGATAAAGCATGCACCGAGTGGCACAATATATAATTAATTTGTTAATAATACTACACTATATGAATTTAAAATTTCTTGGAGGGTTATTATTCACAAGGAGGATTACTGGAGGAAGAATTCACGTGTTGAAAATCCCTTTACAAAGCAAGCAACTTATATTCAGAGGGTAAAAGTAGGAATTACGGATATCACATGTTCAAATTTGGTGAAATTTTTGGCACTTTTTGAGCACTTTCATGTGAGTGTAATTTAGTAAAGTTAATATTCATGTGATAGAGGTAATGCACTATGTGCGGTTTATTTTTTTTTTTTTTCAGGGATAAAGAAGAAGAGGAAGACATCACTTTGAAGATCTAGAAATTGAGCACCCAGTGAGCCATGGTGGAAACCCATGAAATGGGATGTTACTTGCTGTTATAAATTGAGGACGTTGACTAAGTTTGGATGCTGAGCAACGGTTTAAAAGCCATATTACTATTTCTACGAATGTAAGAAAAAAACTTGCGGTCAGTTATAAAAGAAAAATCCATGAATATGCCTCTGCTGACAGAATCGTGATAACTTTAATAAGCTTATATTAAATGATTGAATTTCTTTTGCCGATGGATAAATTGTGTCATCAATAACAATACACAGAAAAATCACATCTTTCCCTATGCCAACTATAAGTCCTACTGTGCCTAATGCTAAATTCAGACCTGTATGTAGGAGTCAGTACACCAAAATTCACACATATAGTTTGAAATGTTATGGGAAACTTTAGTAGATACAATAGATCCATAACAAGAATAAACCCTTGTTTAATAACTACTTCCAAGTTCAAATGCTACAATTATCATGGACTCATTCTGCAAAGTGCAGGTAGCTTTTTTTTTTCTTCTCCTAAAGCGGATCTTTGTCCTCTTAATGAAATTCCTTCAGTTCATCCCTCTTCCCATCCTGTAAATGAATAGCACTGTTGTATGGGGTTTTTTGGTTACTTTTTTTTTTTAAAGAAGTGTCTGCCCCCTCCCCATGCACGTCACTTGTCTAGGCGAATAACATTAAAAGTGCCTGTTGTGCCTCCTGGGATATGCAAGTCACATAACCCAGGAGGTATATTGTTTATGTCACAAAGCAGGAGGGGGGCGGGCTTAGTGGCACATCATTTCAGGTGGGCCTCTCGATGATGTTAGAAAAAACATGGCAGACCGGGACTCAGCTGTGGCAGGGGATCAGATGATCTCAGTGGGACAATGCTGGATCTGCTGGGTGGGTGAATATCTAGAATGTGCAGAACCCAACTTCCAGTAAGTGGGAACGGGTGGGGGGTTGTATGAAAATATGCTTTAAAGCAGAACTACACCACATCTGAGCACCACACACTAAAAATGCTATTTAATTAATTGATAATATTCAAAGCAAACTCACCAATCCACCGATGTCTCCATACTTTATTTTGCTGAGAAACTACTTTGAAAAACACACCCTTTTCCGGCTGTGGCAATCTGGAGTAAGGGCACATGATTCATGTAGCATTTACTTCCTTGAATCTATCTGCCTTTAGCTCAGGTATGCAGGCAGGAATGTGTGCTTAGCTGAAAAAACCTGTCTTTCCCTCCTGAAGACTCCTGGGATGTATGACATAATTGTCTAGGCATGGAAACCAGGAAGCAACTAAAGAACTGTAAAAAAAAAAGTTTAAAACACAAGTAAATATGATATACTTTTATTTCTAATTATGAATTCTAACAGCATATGGATTAAAAATAGTTAAATGTGAGAGTGAAGTTCCGCTTTAATATGTGCACAACTTTGTACAGTCTGCCTATGTTTTCCATTAAATCAAGAAAACAAATGCTATCCAACTAGGGCAGGAGCAATACTGGATCAAGCATCAAAGGCAATTAAATCTTTAATAAGAAGCAGTCAGTGTGTCTGGCTTTATACGTTGTACAATTTGCATACAGTGTAGACTTACTACATATTTCTAGTATAATGTAAGCCAAATAGATAGAGAATGTTGGAGAAAGTGATGGAAAATATGAAATATAGCTTTCTCTCATTTTTAAGTTGAGTGCTTCTTGAAAAATGAATATATATGTAATTAATTCCATTGCAATATTTACTTAGAACATTTTTCACATAGTTTATAAACTGCAAAAATCAGAGGATCTTGGCCTTATATTAAACAACTTTCTGAAAATGTTTGGGGCCAATAAGAACTTGTTCAGGAATGTCATTCAATTTCTTCCAAACAGAAAAGTTCAACTTTTTACCAAGTATCCTTTTTATTATCTCACCAGAAATTAAAAAAGGTAAATAAACCCCCCAGGAGACCCTGTCCACATATGACTTATCTAATTAAATCTGTGCAGTGGATTAGAAATGAAATGACTATCTTTTTGACAGTTCTGGCTGTAAGCACCCAACCTAAAATATGGATGTTCCTATGGGGTTGTTCCAAGCATGTTTGTCCTACACTTTTGAGTGTAGGACAAAAGTGATATTAAAGGCAGATTTTTGTTTTTTAACCACTTGCATACAGGGCCCTTATACCCCATTCCTGCCCAGGCCAATTTTCAGCTTTCAGCGCTGTCACACATTGAATGACAATTGCGCAGTCATGCAACACTGTACCCATATGAAATTGTTATCATTTTTTTGAGACGCATAGAATTTTCTTTTGGTGGTATTTAATCACCCCTGTTTTTTTTTTTATTTTTTGCTAAACAAACCAAAAAGAACTGAAAATTTTGAAAATAAAACGTTTTTTATTAGTTTCCGTTATAAAATTTTGTATATAAGTGATTTTTCTCCTTCACTGATGTGCGCTAATGAGGCTGCAGTGATGGGCACTGTTAGGCTGCACTGATGGGCACTGATAAGGAGGCACTGGTTGGTGGCACTGATGGGCATTGACAGGCATAACTGATGGGCACTGAAAGGCAGCACTGATATGAGGCACTGATAGGCGGCACTGACAGGTGGCACTGATAGGCGGCCCTGACTGGCACTGATAGGTGGCACTGACTGGCACTGTTAGGTAGAACTGCCGGGCACTGATAGGCGGCACTGACTGGCACTGATAGGCTGCACTGACTGGCACTGATAGGCGGCACTGAAAGGCAGCTCAGATGGGCACTGATATGTGGCATTGATATGCACTGGTGGCACTGATATGTGGCACTGATGGGCACTGATAGGTGCAATTGATGAGCACTGACAGCTGACAATGATGGACACTGACAGGTGGCATTGATGGGGCTACACTGATCATCAGGGCACACTGATCATCAGTGTCCTGATGATCAGTGTAGATGTCCCCTCTGAGGAAAGCCGATTACCGGCTCTCCTCTCCTCTCCTCATGAGCTGTCAGCGTGACAGCTCATGATTAGAGAAAATGTGATAACCGGCATTTCTTTATTTACATGCGATCAGCTGTGATTGGACACAGCTGATCACATGACAGAGCTGACGTCTTCAGCTCTTTCCATTGATCCGTGATCCGTGTGTCTGAGGGACACAACTCACCACCTATTGCCGTGCATGCGCGGTTAGAGTGGGAGGAGGTCATGTGATGTCCTCCCAGAACGAGAGAACCGCCTTGTGCCCGTCATTTCCTTATATGGTGGGTGGGAGGCAGTTAAATAACAAACATGTCATACTTACCTGCTCTGTGCAGTGGTTTTGTATAAAACACCCCCGATCCTACTCTTCCCAGGTCCCCTGCCAACACTCCTAGCCCCTCCTTCCTTCCATGTGCACACATAGCAAGCAGCTTGTTATAGACACTGCTGTCATGCACATCGCTGGATCAGGATCAGGCTCAGGTAAGTATTAGGGGGTGTTGGGGCAAGCTACTGCATATAGAAGGTTTTTTACCTTCACACATAGAATGCAAGAAGGTAAATAACTTTGAGCCTTTACAACCACTTTAAGCAAGACAGCTAACAAACACAGCTTCAAAGCAGGGAGGCCTTGTACAGCAAGTCCAAAGCATAAAACAAACAAATTGCCCAAGCCACTAACTAAACTCAGGTCAGTTCTTGACTAACAGGGTGCCCTCTAATTGGTTCCCCAACAAAAGCAGGCATTACTTTTTTTTGTGTCCTATCAGTCTTTTCATCCAGCAACAGGCACCCACAGCAGAGAGAATGAGAGAGAGAACCCTGAGCATCAGACAGCTCACATATATACAGGCCCATGGACAACTGAAACTAATAATGAAGTCTGACTACCAGGTAAAATGTGGACCTGAGAATGGATGGTTTATCCCAGCCAAAAGCTCCACAAAGCCTTCGGGCTCCAGGAGTAGAACAGAACTTACGAAGTGTCTGTTTTTTCCACATCAGCCAAAAACCCTGGAGCCATCACCAAGTGTATGTGAGAAACCTATGTGACACATACACACCATCTAAAATCCTGCCAGCAAGTGCTTCCCAATATTTTTTGTATTACTATTTATTACAGTCATTTATGTAGGACCATCAATTTATGCAGAACTTTTTAAACTGAACATTCATATCAGTACCTGTCCTCAGGAGCTTACAGTCTCAGGTCCTTATCTCACATGAATACTGTGTATATATGCATAGACATACTAGGGCCAATATAGAGAGGAGCCAATATCCTACCAGTATGTCTTGTGAGTATGTAGTGTGGGGGAGGAAAGTTGTAGTACTTAGAGGAAACCCATACAAGCACAGGGTGGGAACACAGTAGGATATTTTGGGGTCATTAAAAGGAGTACCCACTCTAATGGAAAACTAGTAATTGTGAGCCAATCCCTTGACTAAAGATCAGGGTATCTATGAATTGGCACATTCTTCAACTTCTCCTACCATAAATGTATGAGAGTGGATCATTCAATCTGATGTCTCAGGGCCACAGCTCCAAAATGGTACACTTTCCATTCAGAGTGAACAGAGGTACAAGCTGAAGTGGTACAATGACTGAAAAGAAACCACAGCATGTTGAAGGCTAATCCTGTAAAATGATATAACATTTTACAATATAATTTTCCACTGACCACTCAATATCAAGAACATGGTCTGCTGCACCCAAATTAAGACTAAGAGAATCAGTGACTGTTGCAATTTCTGAGGAGTATGCACAGTCCAGGACTTGTTTCTCTTTTGAATTGATCTTATGAGGATGTAGGCCTTCTCTTTTGCATATTTCATCAGCTTCAGTAATCAGTTTCTTGGTTATTTCCATTGGTGGGATGTTAGTCAACGCATTGTTCTGGGACATATTCTGAGGAGTGTGCACAGTCCAGGACTTGTTTCTCTTTTGAGTTGATCTTATGAAGATGTAGGCCTTCTCTTTTGCATATTTCATCAGCTTCAGTAATCTGTTTCTTGGTTATTTCCATTGATGGGATGCTAGTCAACTCATTGTTCTGGGACATATACAGCAATTGTCCTCATAGATGTTCTCATTGAAGGCTCACCCTAGGGTTTTTTTGAATGTCAGAGATAGATGAGAACGGTATTGCTTTTGTCACAACTCGTATAAAATTCTGGCTTTCCTGTCTATCCAGATGGGGATTGGCTTATTATACTCCAAACAAGATCAGTTCTTTGTGTAAATGGTTTATTTTCACAACCAGTGATGGCTTCTATTGGGAAGAACATGGGGTAGAACCAATAGACAAATATATCCAATTAACATTCCCACGTCACAGCTTTGAAGTGGTAGTGAATTGTTTGCTATGTGTTGGAGCTGAGGCAACTGCAGCACTGGCATATGAGTTAGAACGTATGACTTGTCAACAGCAATGCAGTCACTAGTGTAGGCTAGCTGTTGTTGAATGTGGTGTTTAGAGCTGAGTCCTTGCATTTGCAGGCCATGGCCATTCTTGCTTGCTATAACAGTGTCAACGGCAGTTATTGTACTAAGCTTCAGTTGGACATATTTCTACTCATCAATCAGATATTCTAAAATGAATGTTAAATTGCTTGGTGTGTCAAATTACTTTGTAAGTTAAATACTCTTTCTGTGGCCTTTCTATGATGACACAAGGACAGGAACAATACTGGAGGTGACAGTTGCATGTTACATCAGAACATGGGACTTTATATTGTGGACCTTTTGGCTTGCATGGTCATCTGTGGAAGTGGAACCCTTATTAGGTACTTCCATACACCTTTCAAATCTTTTTTTTTTTGCAGGCAAGGTTGGATGACATCAGCCAAATATGCTGCAGGTGTATTGCCTTTTGCAGACCAAGGACCAACTTTTTTGGTGAGAGGCCTCAAGTCTATTTATCTTTAGTTGAGTGCCCCACCAAAGAATAAGGACCTCAATGTCAGCAGGACTAGATTACAGCTATATAGTTTCACTGGCAAATAGAGTAGGAGTAATTAGGGTCTTTGCATTTGACTTAGGCCTGTCAATTGCCGGTTACCTGCACTATTTAGTTACTATTTCAGCCTGTGCTGGTGGAACTGTTATCCCTGTATATTGTTATTTTTCTTTGGTTGCCTCACCAATCCTTCCCTTTTCAGGGCTTTTGCCTCAAGAAAGCCCATTCAAACTATTTCCAGGTGTGTCGTTGGTCACTTGGGTCCAATGTCTTCATTGGTTTTCACTGCAAATATTAGGCATGTGGCATTTCCGTATGCTGGCAGATTTCTGCAGTCAAAATAACACAGACATCCATTTTCTTAACAATGTCTGGAGTGTTAGTGTGGACTCATGCATGATCTCCGCAGACTCTGTCATGTCATCACAATGTTTTCAGTCTTGTTTTTTTCTCCTTTGCTTTTTACTTCCAAGAGTCATAGGCCTGTCAATTTGCTTCCTGATCATGCAGTACCTTGCTCTTCTGTGTTAGACTTCTTCATAGGAACTGAATCTGACTTGTACTGTCTTCATAGGCGTTTTGTTTTTGGTTAAGGTGGAACTAAACTCTCTCAATCGAAATAAATTATTTTTGATCCTTATACTGTTAGTTATAGATAGGAAGGCATATTATATTTACTTGTTTTAAAGTTAAAGTTTTCAGTTAAACACACCCTCCTGCCTGCTTGCCCAAGCTAGGGGCAGATGGATTCCAGAAAGTAAATGTAACAATTAATCATCTGCCCTAGCTCGAGATGGCAGTAGCTAGGGTGCTGTTTTTCAAAGCAATGTCCCAAAGAAACAAAGCATAGATGGATGGGCGAGTTTGCTTTGAGTGTTACAAATAAAATAGTGTTATTGGTTTGTGGAGCTCAGATACAGTTTAGTTGAATTAAAGTTAGTAGCTGGACTTCAGGTGCTCTTTATCTACAAAGCTCATGTGTAGTGTTCTGTTTTCACTGTAGCCCTTGGCAATCTATATGCACAGAGTCTTTGACAGATGCTTTAAGCTTATTTCCTTAAATAAAGCAGTTCTTACTCATTGTTAGAAAAATTCACTCAGCAGCTACAAAAACTGTAACTGCTGACTTTTAATAAGAAGACACTCATCTGTCCCAGGATTCAGCCCTGTCCAGTTTCTTCACTGGCTTTGGTCCGTGGCGCTGACATGTGGGCAGCCAGCTGTGCCTGCTTGCAGCTTCACAGCTGGCTGCCCACTGCGTATACGCGAGACGCACTGCACTACCTCAATGGCCCTGCAGTCTTCTGTGACATGTCCCAGCAGGCTGCAAGGGAAGGAGGGGGACGAACTTCCAGCCAGATTACCTCGGTCAAAACCAGGTACCTGCTCCCCCTCAAAAAGTGCCAAATGTGAAGCAGGGTGGGGGGGAGAGAGTGGAACTTCCCCTTTTGGGTGAAGTTCTGCTTTAAGTAGTATTGATCGAGCATTCAAGCGTTGTGAAAACTATAAATTTATATAAACTAACAATTAATGAAAAATTAGCAAGTTAAAGAGAATGCAACATGCATTTACTCAATGAATGCAAATCACAGTTGAAGTAATTGTAATGTATAACCAAGCTAGCCAGAAAGGAAAGTGACTCCAAATTTCCCAACTGAATTACCAAATAAATATTTACAATTCAGTGCAATAATTCATAAATTCCATACACAATTAAATTTGCATAACCTAATAAAAATCTCATAGGTAATAAATATGCAATTAAAATCTGAGCCATATAAATCTATAAAGTGCAATAGAAAAGTGGCAAGCGCAATAAATTCATCAAATTAATTATGTAGCAATTTCTCAACAAAGTGTCCAGTGCGCCAAAGTATCAAGTGCAATAACATACTACAATAGATGTGTAATGTTCTGTGGAAAGTCCCCTGATACACAAATCCAGTTATCAAATTTTCATATATCCCTGAAATCTTTCCTTTGTTTATTGAATCCAACATGAAACCTCCAACAGAGAAACCTCGACCAATCACACTAAATCACCCACCAGAGGTAATGATCTTAATATCAATTGGTTGGTACTCACTCAATTAGCCCCAAAGATCACCTCCAAGATGGTCTTAATAAACCTCCATTCCCAGCAAATATGTGTGGAAAAAAGAACAATACATAAAACCGCTTATTTTTTTAAA